CACACACACACACACACACACACACACACACACACACACACACACACACACACACACACACACACACACACAATCACGGCACCTTTGTCTCCTTGACGGGCATGGCGGCAATGTCCTCGAGTTGCGGCAGGCCGTCGCCCTCCGCCCGCTCGTGCTTGTACTCGTGGATAAGATAGTTCTGCAGATACCTGTTTGGGTGGTTCGTTGGTGTGTTGGTTGCGTGTGTCGATTTGCCATGAACATTTATCGTGCATCTTCAGTGAGGCGAGTGGCTGGTTCGATACACCAACGGCAACAAAATACAAATACAAGGAAAACAAGACCAAGAAGGACAACAAGGACAACAAAGACAACAAGAACACCATCATCATCATCATCATCATCATCATCATCATCATCATCATCATCATCATCATCATCATCATCATCATCATCATCATCACCACCACAAAACGACACGATCACACCACCACCACCACAAAACGACACGATCACACCACCACCACCACAAAACGACACGATCACACCACGCCACGCATGTTTGACGTACTTCTTGATTGTCTCTGCGTGTGAAATGCAGGGGTCGTTGAGCGAATCGTAGAAGATGACGCACGGATATCGCTCCACACGAGGAGGTGCAGCTGCTCATTGCGATCAATCGTGATTGCGTTGATTGGGGCGCCCGCATGGGGTGAGGAGATGATAAGTTGAGCGCACACCAAGGACACATGTTCCACTTCCCAAACACCACACACACACACACACATACACACACACACACACACACACACATACACACACACACACCTCCGGTGATCTTTGCTCGTTTGCGGGCGGATGTGTCCTTCACTTTTCCAACACAGTCCTCAACGACACTGCGACCACCATCGCGTTTGTCACCATCACCGCCATCACCGCCATCACTGTCTGCTTCAGCATCACCACCGTCGCCATCATTATTGTCACCATCATCAACAACTTCGACAGAGTGGCGTCCTTGTTTTCCCTTCGCTCCACCACTTCCTCCTCCCCGCTTTCCGCTGCTCTTTCCTCTGCTTCCGCGCTGCTGCTGCCGTTGTCGTTGCTTTTGTCCGTCTTGGGCAACAGCACCACCATCACCATCACCATCACCATCACCATCACCATCGTCATTGTCATCACCATCACCGTCATCAGCACGCAGCATCAGCTTGTGCTGCTGTTGCTCCAACCACTTCTTGTTCTGCCGTGTAATTGGTCGACTTGCTTTCCTGTCCACAAGAAGTCGAAAGACGTACGACGGCACGCGGCAAAAACGGGTGAATGAGATGTGGTTCGTACGTGCATGTTCATAGCTGAGCGTGGCATCATGTCAATGTACGCGCGTTCGCAAATGAACGCACGCGTGCATGCAGGGGTGCGTGCGACAGCACGTGTTCATGACTTACAACTCCTCTGCCAGTTGCGTGCGCTGCGCAATTTCGCGGTCGCGGCGCTCTGGAAATACACATACGCACAGACACGCACGCACAGACACGCACACACACGCACAGACACGCACACACACACACAGACACACGCACGCACACACACGCGCGCGCATAGACAGACGGCCGTATACAGCAACACAAAACAGGCAAAGGGTGAGGGATTGCGCATTGGAGAGAGGGAGACACGCTGTGGAGGCTACAGACAGCAGCATGATGCACGTGCACAAGCGAACAACACAGCGCTGTGTGCAGAAGAGTTTGAGCACACGCGTAAACGACAACAGCACCTTGCTCCGAAGCAGGCCCGGTGACATCAGCAAACGCATCATCGTCGCTGTCTGTGGCATCAACCATGTTCATCTCAATGTCATTGTCATTGTCATCGCCATCACCATCACCATCATCATGGTCGTGAATGGTTTTTGTTGGTGCGCGTTCGCCTGTATTAGCTGCTGCTGTTTCAGCTGCTGTTGCAGCGGTTGGCGGCGGTGTTGCTGTGGCCACTGTTGACTGCAGCTCACCAGTGCATCTGTTGCGGTCGTGCGCTCCATCGCCATCAGCATCGTCAACATCTTCGTCCATGTCAACATCCCGACGTGTTCCACTGCTGCTATCGCCACCACCAACACGGTCAGCGCCAGCACGGTCACCATCACCGTCACGTGACACGGCGACGACCCCAGCATTCTTCGCATCGCTCCCGCCGTCTTCATTATCCTTGCTGCCAAGCGGTGGTGTCGCACGGTCATCATCACTGTCACCGTCATCGTCATCGTGGCTGTTGTTGTTGCTGTTGTCGCTGCTGTTGTTGACGTTGACGGGTGCTGGAACAGGCAGTGTAATCTTGTCGTCCTCATCATCACCACTGTCATCCTCAGCCACAGCGTGCCCTGGTCCTTGACTACGATCACGAGTGTCGTGAGCAGGAGTGTCGATGTCGTCGACGTCAGTCAAGGGAGACGATGACGCCCGTCGTTGGCGGCGGCACTGCACCACAACAGTGACATCACCGCCATCATCGTCGTTGTTGTTGTTGTTGTCACCTTCACTACCATCACCAGCGTCGTCGTTGGGGTTGTTGTTGTGACCAACCCCGCAGGTGTTTTTGGCCGTTGTCGCTTTGATGGCGGCGAGAGCGTCAGACATCATGTTGGTATAGTGCGAGTCATCCTCACCGCCAGCACTTGCATCATCATTAGTGACAGCAGTCTTATTACCACCATCGTTATCGTTGAATGGTGTCGTGTGCCCGTTGTTGGTGGGCACAACCTTCACAGCACCATCAGCACCACCTGTACTGTCACCCACACGACCAGCACCAGCATCACCATCACCATCAGCACCGTCACCATCAGCAGCATCATCATCAGCACGAACAACATCATCCTCACGACAGTCCATGTCCATGCCCAGATCCTGACCGCCGCCATCACCATCACCATCACCACCGGGGATGTCTTGGCTGCAGTCCATCATGGCGCTTGCTCGTCCACGACTCCCACCATCCGTCGGTGCCGCTACCACCGTCGTTCTCACGCCATGGCCAGCAGCAGTGGCCGTCACCGATGACGACGCTGCTGCTGCTGTTGCTGTTGTTGCTGCTGCTACTGTTGGTGTCGCCATCACCACGTCTGGCGTGGCAGTAGCGGTACCAGCACTGTTCACATCACCGCCGTGTGCTCGGTGTGCTGTTGTTGGTGTTGCCAACGGTGTGATAATTGTTGTTGCTGGTGTTGATGTTGATGTTGTTGCTGGTGTTGATGTTGTTGCTGCCGCTGGTGTTGATGTTGTTGCTGTCCGTGGTTGTGGTGATGGACTTGTTGGGGAAATGATCGTTGTCGTTTGTGCTGGGGAACTGATCGTCGTCGGCGTCACGACGGTTGTTGTCGTGTTGACTGGTGGCACAGACAACGAGACTGCGTTGCCTGGTGGCGGTGGGGTCGTCGTTGCACCTGCAGCTCTTGTCAATGGCGATACAGGGGCGCTGGTGGTTCCGCGTCGAAGTTGAGGCGACGCAGGCGTTGCCACAGCCCTCACAATCGTGGTTTGTGGCGTCGGTATTGCCGTGGTCTCATTGTCTGTGACAGCGTCGTGGTCGGTAATGGTCACCTCTTCACGCGTGTCTGCGTCCTCCTCCTCCTCCTCCTCCTCCTGATCTTCCTGCCCGTCCCCTGGTGGCTGCGATCTCGGCTCGCAAACACCACCACCACCGCCACCACCATCGCCATCGCAGTCGCGATCACCGCTGCAGTCGTCGTTGTCGTCGAGAATCCGTACAATCACTGCAGACCAAAGAAAATGAGCACACCCCACACATGTGAGACGAGCCGTAAAATGTTGCGCACATGATGGCAGTGGCAGGGGTAATAATGGTGGTTGGCGGTGATAGCATGAATTTGCAACGTTTCACGCTCACACCTTCACTCAGCGAGCAAACACAATCACACGAATGTAGCCACAACCATCACAACCACAGCCACCAACATAAATAGCGATACTGACTGTGCTCGAGTTGGGGTTTCTTTCGACGAAAAGCAGTCTGCTTCACAACGTCATCACCACCACCACCACGATCACCACGACTGCGACCCAAGACGTGTGCGTCCAGTGGCACTTCCGTCCCAGAGCCGAGGACGCGTCCCAATGGCGGCGCTGCCAACTGCTTGCCTCTCCGCCCCTGGTTCTTCCTCTTACCACCAGCTTTGTTGGCACCTCCAGCAGTGGTGGTGCTGGCGGTGTTCGTTTTGCCTGCAGGCACGTTGCAGTGGGTGTCCGTGGCTGATGACGTGCGGTAAACGGCGTCGCGCGCATAGTGCGGGATGCTGCCGGCACCGGTGCTACTGCGCGTACCGTAACGCGGGGGTGGCGACGAGAGTGTCCAGGGGTTGTTGAGCGATGACGACGGCGGTGCCGTCGATTGGAGGGATTGCAGTGCTGTCCCGTTGCCACTGCGCCGTGTGCGCACGCTCGTGATAACTGGGGCAGACGCATCGCCAATCGTCCCCTGTGTGTGTGTGTGTGTGTGTGTGTGTGTGTGTGTGTGTGTGTGTGTGTGTGTGTGTGTGTGTGTGTGTGTGTGTGTGAATCACAGTGAGTGGTGAACAATGACCAGCTGGATAACGCAACCGCCAGCGACCAGGGAACAACAGCTTATCCTCTCCGACAACGCGCCATCGCCGTCATTACACGCCACTACCCTGCTCACCTCCACAGCGGGCGGTTTCATAAAGGGAAAGCACACAATCGCCAGGTACCAGTGGGCGCTGTGCACACACACATGCGAAGGTGCGCAACAGCGACAACAGCGTGAGCGGGTGGATTGGATACGCTGAGACAAGACACAGCGCAGACACAGACACGCCTCCTTCACACGCACACGCACACGCACAGACACGCACACGCACACGCACACGCACACGCACGCACACGCACACGCAGCCAGTAGGAACTCACTGTTCGTTGATGGGGATGATCAGAAAGTCCTTTTCAAACAGGCTGACGTGCTTTGTCCAGCGCTTCACGCTGTCGTACCCGCCCTGCACCCCGGCCAATGATGGTGATGATGATGATGATGATGATGATGATGGTGGTGGTGGTGGTGGTGATGATGGTGGTGATGATGGTGGTGGTGATGATGATGATGATGATGATGATGATGATGATGATGATGATGATGATGATGATGATGATGATGATGATGGTGATTATAGATGAGGGAGGTGGTGGAAGTAAAGCAATGCAGCAAGCATCCACAGGAAGCGCAAACATGTGGATGTAAACGAAGTGCGTGCCAGAACATGAGGGCATCTTGTACAGAGAAACACAAGCAAACACACAACACACAACGCACAACACACAACACACAACACACAACGCACAACGCACAACACACAACACACACATGCAACCCCCCCCCCCCACACACACACACACACATGCAACCCCCAGAGCACTAACGTCGCAGAGTTTGGAGAAGAAGTAAGTGTTGAAGACGTGGACGTTTGAGCGTGCGGTGTTCATCTCGTATTGGCGGTGGAGATACGCCAGCCAGAAGTTAACCAGCTCGTCATCAAGAAACTCCCTGCCGTGCAGCCTGGCCGGCCATTCGGGTGCACACGGTGGTGGTGGTGGTGGTGGTGGTGGTGGTGGTGGTTTGTGAGATATAGGGAACGTACGGAAGGCAAAAGTGCAAACATACACGCACAGGTGTCGACAGCAGCCACCACATGATCACAGTAAGTACACGATCACAGCCACCATCACAAACCAGCACCACACGAATAAAAACCACACATCCCTCCCTCTCTCCCTCCCCCACCACCACCACCACCACCACCAGCACCACCGCCGCCGCACCCGCCGCCGCACCTGTTGTAGCTGCCGCGCGTGAGGTTGAGCGTGCGCGCTCCACTGGTGTCCACGGCGACCATCACCTCCGCGTCGTCCAGCCGGCGCTGCTCCTGCCGCCGCTTTCGCCGCGGTAGCTTGATTGCCTTCTTCCCATCGCTCGCGCTGGCACCACCATCACCATCACCATCACCATCACCATCACCATCGCCATCACCACTGCCACGTGTCGACCTCCTCCTCCCCCTCCTGCTGCTGCTCCTGCGACCGGTTTTGTTGTTGTCATCGTCATCGTCATCATCGTCATCATCATTGCCGCTGCTGCGTGTCTTATGCCTCCTCACTGCTGGCGTGTCGTCCTTGGTGTTGGTGCTGCCATCATCATCGCCATTTGCACGTCCGCTGCCGCGTCCTCCACGACTCTTCTTGCCGCCACCAGCACCATCACCATTGCCATTACCATCACCACTGCCATCATCGTCGTCGTCGTCGTCGTCAGTGCGTTGGCGCTGGGAGCGGGTGGAGCTGCGAGTCACGGGCCGCCGCGCAGCCGTCACAACCAGCGCTTTCGCAGCTGTGGCCGGTGCCTCTGTGGCTGTCGTTGTTGTCGTTATTGTTGCTGCTGCGTTTCCTGCTTTTATCTTGTGCTTTGAGCCGCTTCCCCCATCGCTGTCACCGGCACTATCACTGTTACTGTTACTGTCACCATCATCAGCGCGGCTGCTCTCCGGTCGATGTTTGCCGGTCATTGTTGCGAAGACGTTGCCACCACTGCGCGGGTGATTGCGCTTGTGTTCGCTGCCGCGTTCCATCGCAGACAGCGGGTTGGGCAACGCAATCAACTGGTCAGAATCCCAAGCATCAGCAGCATCAGCAGCTCCAGCTCCATTGCCGCCACCATGATCACCACTGGTGCCTTGTGATTGTGAGGACGACAGCAGGGATGACTCGTGTTTCAACTTGGGTGGTCGTCGCCGCCGCCGCTGGCCCCCACTTGTCGCCGCACCCCCACCATCACCACCACCATCACCATCATCACCGCTGACATCGTCATCAACATGGATCGGGTGCTGCTGGTGCGGCTGTTGTTGCGGCTGCGATGGTGAGAGGGCGAATGCAGGTGGGAGGTCGTCATCGTCGTGATCATTGCCACCATCCTCGTCACTCTCGTCATCACCATCGTCGTCATCGACGGGATGGACGGTCTCAGGCGCCTGGTGACGCGTGCAACCACGAGAGGTGGTGGCAAATCAATAAGTGAGCGTGTGCGTGCATCGTTGTTTCACGTGTGCATCTGTGTGCGTGTGTGTTTGTGTGTGCATGAATGTAGATGTATGTGTGTATGTGTGTGTACGCGCGCTTGCAGGTTCACACACACAGAATGCTCAGTGGACAGGAGATGGGGTCACTACAGATGCGCACCTGATTCAGCGTCGAAAAGCGACCACCACCAGCACCATCATCATCATGATCACGACTGTGATTATGATCGCCATCCTTGTTGTTGTCATCATCGTCATCATCAAGAAGAACAACCACCTCATCAACGTCACGCTCCGCACCACCACCGCGACTGCTTCTGCTTCTGCTTCTGCTTCTGCTGCTTCTGCTGCTGGTTTTGTCGCCGCCATCAACAACACCGCCCACGATGCGACCGCCCCACTTGCGTATTTTTGACAGTAACGACGGCGACGACGATGATGATGATGGTGGTGGTGGCGATGACTGCCGTGGCTGTTGTTGGTGTGCATGGCTGCTGGAATGACGCGCATAGAAGTTCTTCACGCGTGCTGAACGCGCCGACGACGTCGTTGATCGCGTTGTCGGGTGTGTGCCTGTTGTCGGTGTCGAGGGTGATGAAGGGCGAGTGCGGGGCTCTTTAGGTGTCTCAATGAGCACGGGAGGATAGCGGGACGTCACTGGCAGCATCGACAGAGGCCGGTGGAGGAGGTGGAGGAGAAGAAGAAGAAGCAGGAGGGGGCGGGGCGGGGTTGGGGTGAGGGTTAGAAGAGTGAGGGCCACGAGGAGAAAGGGGGAGCTGGGGCGAGGGGCGGAATGGAGGACCAAAGCGGGTTCTGGAGGCTGCTGTGACATGAAGCAATTACTCGCAGACACAGACACACTATCATACACGTATGATCACACACCATCATACACGTGTGCTCACACGTATTACGCGTTCACACATTCACTCACATGTGCACATGTTCGCATGCACATGTGCTCACCGGTTGACCTCTGGGCAGCGGGGGGCGCGGCCTTGCGCCGTGAGGGCTTGCTCTGCCGCGAACCCATTCTGGAGAGGTTATTCAAGTTGTGGCTGCCACCTTTGTGTGTGGTCCGGAGAACGTTGGTGGTGGGGGAAAGCGTGAGGTACCCCAGGCCACGAACAGAAGGCAGAGAGGAAGGACGAGTAGACAGATGAGCAACTCGACAAGCATCGTGCAGAAGCAACTATCACGCAGGTGGTTGGTCCTGGCACATACGTACACGATACCTGGCACAAACGTGGGCAAGTTTTGTAATGCAGCAGTATCCAGGCTGTGGGGCTCAGGCTTCTGTGCACACACATACACACACACGTGTCAGAAAACAAACTGTGTTGCGTGGGTGTGCGTGTATGTGTGCGCGTATGATGTTGGAGCGAGAGAAACAACACGGACAATGCCAATGCTACGCACCCAAGTATATTGGTCACTTTGAAATGGATCCAGGTTCTTGTCGATCGGCTGCGGGCGCTTACTACAGGCGACAAACAACAAGGTGATATGAGGGTGTGTGTGTGTGCGGGTTAGCGAAAGCAAGCACGGTGTGCACACACGCGGCGCAAGCGCGACATCAAACGACAATACACTCGGGGCTGTGCGACCACATTGCAGGCATCACAAGAAAACATGTATGGCTTCCAGTCCTGCCATCATGTTCGCCCCGCGAGCACTAACGTCGAGGTGTCCTTGGCCGATTTGAATATGTCCTTCTACAACGAAGAGCCAACAGAAGCAAGCAGGCAGCCGTGAGCACATGTGGGCACGGACAAAGCATTGGTTTGTAGCGCGTTGTGTGTGGAGCGCTGGGTGCTGTAGGCACGTAGCCGAGGCGTTGTTTCGCAACCCTGAGGTCTTTGACAGCAGGGCAAAGTGTCTGCCTTCATACGACTACCCCATAAACAACACATCGCCACGGACAAGCCTGCCAGTGAATGTACCTTTGTCCGCTTGCTCCGCTTCTTTGTCATGGTGCTTGGAGGGCGTTCCTTGTCGACCTTGGAATTTACGCACAGGGAAGAAAAGAAGAGAGAGGGGGGAGAGGAAGAGAGAGAGAGAGAGCGAGAGAGAGAGAGAGAGCGAGAGAGAGAGAGAAGAAGAAGAAGAAGAAGGAGGAGGAGGGAGGAAAGCGCAGACGGACGAGTGAATGGACGGATGGATGGACGGATGGCCGTGCGGACGGCTGGGCTGTGCTCGTCGTCGCCGCTCTGAGGTTGTTGTGGGGATTTGCCGCAAGATGCACACAACACAGGCACACAGCAGAACACGCAGCGCCAAACAAAAATGGTGTTGGGGAAAAGGACGCTGCTTGTGGCACTGCCCACGTATGTATGACTGGAGGTGTGCGATGTGGCTGCGGAGGTGTGCAGCTGGTGCGGGTATGCTGTTGTGGCTGGTGTGGTCGTCGAGTGTTGTTGATGTTGTGGTGTGGTGGTGTTGTCGTCTCGTTTCCCGCCACCACCATTGCAGAAAAATGGCCATCAGGTACACAATAACCGTGAATCTTTTTATGATGTTGATAACTGTGGCAGGCAGGTCCTTGTTGGTGTTCGTGTTGTGCGAGCCCAGACACACCGCAAGCGGAAGAGGACGCAAGTGAACAGGCGCGCAAGCGACAAAGGGAAGAGCAGAAGCCAATAACGAGCACAGAATATGTGAAATAACGCGGCAACAACAAGGGCAGGAGCAAAAAACAAGAAGAACAAGAACAAGAACAAGAACAAGAACAAGAACAAGAAGAAGAAGAAGAAAGTGGCGAAAAGCCAAAAGCAACTGAAGGAAACACGGCGTACGTAAGCCAAGACAAACCGTGAGTGGTAACAAAGGGTGCAAATCAAAGCTACAAGCACAGATGCAAGAGGGCAACTCATGCGCGCTTACGCACATGCGAGCACACACACACACACACACACACACACACACGAACAAACTCACTCACACACACACACACACACACGAACAAACTCACAGACATACACACACACACACACACAAACAAACACAAACACACAACCTCACCAAACTCACCAAACTCACACACACACACATGCATAAACGCATGACAACAACCCTACAACCGTCCGTCACCAAGCAAACGGCTGGTGACAGATGGTGTTGATGACAAGAATGTTCTGGGAATATGATGGGATGGCGTAAATGTTACCGTTGGAGGCAAGCACGCCCGTGGACCAGCGAAAGGGCGATGTTCTAGTGTCAAAAGCAAGGGATGTCGTGTCGGCGGTGTCGTCAAACGGGTTGATGACAAGCACGGTGAAGTAGTTGCGGGGAATGCCGTAGATGAGCCCGCTGCCTGCAAGCACGCCGCCCGTCCACTTGAAGTCATCCATGTCCGGAAGGCCCACAATGGACGTGGTGTCGATGGTGTTGGTTTCGGGGTCGATGATGAGCACAAAGTCCGCGTGGGATGGGATGGCGTAGATCTTGCCGTTGTCGGCCAGCACGCCCCCGCGCCACTGATCGGCATCCGGGATGTCAGATATGGTGGTCATGTCCAGCGAGTGGAGCTTGGGGTCGATGATGAGCACGGAGTCCTCATTACCGGGCATGCAGTAGATGCGGCCGTTGTTGGCCAGGACGGCGCCAAACCACTTGTTCGTGGCCAGCGGGAGACCGCCCATCTTGTTAGGGTATGCGGTGTTGGTGGCTGGGTCGATGATGAGCACGTGGGTTGCGTGCGACGGGCATGCGTAGATGAGCCCGTCGTGTGCCTGCACCGCGCCATCGTACTTGTAATTGCCACTGGGAATGTTGGTGATGGTCGTGGTGTCGACGCTGTTGGTGGCGGGGTCGAGGATGAGCACATTGGAGGCGTGCGAGGGAATGCCGTAGATGATGCCGTTGCTGGCCAGGATGCCGCCACGCCACTTTCGTTCTTGGTCAGACAGCGAGGCGATGCTGGTCGTGTCAAACGTGTTGAGATCGGGGTTGATGATCAGCACGCTCGTGCCGGAGAAAGGGATGCCGTAAATAAGGCCGTTGGGGGCCTCCACACCACCGTACCACTTTTCTATGTCATCCATGTCGGTGTTGATGGTGGTAATGATGTCCTCGCTGCCGCCAGGACACCTCGCCTCAGCCACAGACTCCGTCGCTGCGCGTAGCGCGGCCGTGGTGCTTTGCAGCGCCTCCAGTTCTGCGGCAATGTCGACATCATTCATCAAAACACGCCCACGCGTGCCCGTGGCTTCGTTCACGCCAGCCATGACATGCAGCGTGCCGTTCCCATCCTCCTCAAAGCCAGCGAACAACGGCGGCGGCGTTGGCGTGGTTGTTGTGGTTGTGGTTGTTGTGGTTGTTGTGGTTGTGGTTGTTGTTGTTGTTGTTGGTGGTGGTGGTGGTGGTGGTGGTAGTGTTGTTGGTGGAGTTATTGTAATTGGCGGTGTTGTTGTTGTGGTTGTTGTGGTTGTGGTTGTGGTTGTTGGTGGTGCAGGTGGGGATGGAGAGGCCGGTTGAGCTGAGCCAACATCCGACACCACAACCACAGCAGCAGCAGCAGCGCACACGAACACCACCGCCCACCACCTCATCCTGCAAAAAAGAGGAGGAGGAGTTGTCGTTCTCATCATCGTGCTTGGCGTCTGGGATTGACGAAAATTGGCACAAATTATTCACTGGCTTTCCGCAGTGGAGATGGCAGTGAGTGGAGATGGTAGTGGGTGGTGTCTGTGTGCCGCAACACTCATGTGTACATGACCACCAAGACCAGCGAGATAGAGGAGTGGACACGCAAGTGTGTGTGTGTGTGTGTGTGTGTGCGTGTGCACGTGGAGTTCGCTTTGCCTGCGGCGCTCTCATGTCACATAGGCGGGTGTTGAAGTATTGCAGCTCTGTTCTTTACTCAAAGTGTGATGAAACTGAAGAACTGAACGACTGTCGCGGAGGAGACAACAAGCACAGAAAGACAGAAGCATGCTCATTGAAACAAAAGAAACAAAGTGCAGTGAATCCTCAAGCATGCACGTACATGCAGGCGTAGGTGGGCATGCCACGCACATGCACCAGCTGCAGGTACACAATGACACAAGCACACCGAGCATTGATGCAAACAGATGCAAGCAGGCGCACGCACACACAAATACTCAAACACACGCACGCACACACACACACACAATGCCGCCTCAGCATGTGGGCCCGAGGGTGAACCACGTCGTGGGCAGGGCCTTGGTTGCCTCGATGAGTTTTGCGTTCTTGGTGTCCTCCTCGGATCCGACGAAGGTCACCATGGTAATGTCTGCAAACTCGCCCATCTCCTCCAGGTGCTTGCCGACGTTGGCCAGGTGCACAAGGAAGGCATCGGCGTTCTTGTAGTGCTCGCGGCACACGAAGACGCTAGGGTCGCTGGTTGAGCGCGCGAACCCGTAGAAGAACATGTCCGCCTCCTTGGAGGTTGTCTCGACAAAACGCTGCATGACAGGCACGACGTCCTTGTCGTAGTCCTTGCCTTGCTTCAGCTTGAAGGAAACGAGCGCGCTGAAGTTGTTGCCGGGAATCGCCATGGCTGTGTGTTTTGCTGCCCTTGCTGGTGCGCTATGTGCAGAAGAGTTGAAGAGACTGATCAAAGGCGGGGGGGGGAGAAGGGGGTTGAATGTGTGCAGGTGTGTGTGTGGGGGGGGCGCTTGTTGAATGTTTTGCTGTGGAGGTGCTGAGGTGAAAGAAAGGTGCGATCGCAGGTTTGTTTGTTTTTTTCTGAGGTTCTGTTTGAAGACAGCAAAATGGAGTTGTGACAGATTTGACATGAGAAATAAACTTGCCGCTGTTCTGCTCGGATTTGTCGCAATGACGTCATCACTGGTGTTGTTTTTTGTGTGCGCTTGTGCGTGCTTTCTTGATTCAATGTGTTTGTTTGCATCGTGATGTTGTAGTGTTGTGCACTCTGACATCGACGGCCCCAGCCACTGTCTCACACGCACACACACACACAGAGAGAAGGAAAACACACAGACATAGACCCAAGGACACACACACACACACACACACGCAGCAGGAGCCATAGTACTTTGCTGCCTGGGCTCCTCCAGCAAACGCGCGCGCGCTTGTTTGCCACCTCAGCTTCACTCCTCTCACATGCCCGCAAACTTTGGGAAGAGGTTGTGTGGGTCGTACTTGGCCTTGACATCCGCCAACTTCTGAGTGCAGTCTCCATAGGGCTTGTTGTGGTCGTCTGTGTAGTTCACGTACGCAGCAACGCCGACACCAATGTCCTTGGCCAGTGCCTTGAACTGCGACAGTGCGATGAAATTCAGGAGGAGAAAATGGTGATGGTACAGGCGGCGGTGGTGGCAGCGGTGCAGGAAGGAGTGAGCGCACGTTTATGCTCACAATATCCCAATCAACACACTACACTGACTGATGAGAAAAAGGCGCGTACCATGAGGACCACACACCAAGTCACACTCTCAAACACCCCACACCCACAGAGAGAGAGGGGGGAGGAGGGAGGGAGACACACACATGCATACACATACACACACATGCATACACATACACACACATGCATACACATACACACACATACACACACAGACGCACACATACGCATTCGCGCAGACACACAGCCACACCACACACCACAGACACGCGTGGCCTTCAAACCTGCTGGAGCCATTCAAGAGACTTCTTTGCGGTGGAAGGGTCATCGAGGTTGCCAAGGCACATGACGGAGTATGGGCGACGCGTGCCGTACACCAAGTCGTCCTCGGGTTTGCGGTCGACACCCACAATCTGCCCGCCCCAGTGCTCAACAAGATACACGCTTGCCGGTGTGCGGTATTTCTCGGAAGCGAGAATCTGTGTCGGACGTTGATGCACAACAGCAAGGTAAAAGAATGGCAGCATGTCTCAGCTGAGGTTTGAAAGCAGTTGCACGTGCAGTGCAACACACGCACACACGCACGCACACACGCACACACACATTGAAATGAGGAGACAGGCATGCACACAAAAAAAGGCCAACCGAGCAAACAAAGACACACTCGACCAACAGACCAACCAACCAACCAAGCAGACAAGCACAGACAATGTCAACGCACGAGCTTGACGAGGGCCTGACAGTCATCGGTGCTGGCGCCCGTGGAGCGCTTCTTGTGGCCATACCCGCCAACGACATCCTGCATGCAGTTGAACACAGCATACGGCTTTGGGTCGATGGCATTGATGAGGGGCTTCTTGTCCATGAGCGGGGCGAGGTGCGTGTTCATGAGCTCCTGTGCCTGCTGCATGGGCTCGTCACCAAGCCACGCCGTGTGGATGATGAACGTGCGACGGCCGTTGAAGGGCGGCGGAGGCGGCGAGTCGATCACCATGGAGCAGTACAGGTTCGGTTCGTCCTTATCGACAATCTCCGCCCACTTCCTGACGCGGTCTGCAAACTCCTCATCAGACTCGGCAATCCAGAACGCCTGCCCGGAGCACATCATGTCCTTCTCGGGCAGCTGCTCGCCACCGGAGCAGGTATGATGCATGTTGGTGAGGAGAGGTGTATGTGGTGAGTTGGGTGAGGGAAAAGCGGAGGTGTGCGTGGTGTTGTGATGTGATGTGATGTGATGTGATGTGATGTGATGTGAGGTGAATAAGCGGAGGGACCCAGTTGTAGAATAAAACCGTGGACAGGGAGGGGAAGAGGGGGAGGGTAAGCAGAGCACGGCAAGGACAAAGGGTGTCTTGGAGGAACAAATCATATCTTGGCTGGGCATTGCACACTTGGCGCAAGGTGACGTTGCGAGTGACACAACACGAGTGCGCTCACTCACAGGGTAGAGGCGGACTTTAAGGGAGGTGACAATGCCAATGGAGCTTGCAGCACCGCGAATGGCAAAGAAGAGGTCAGGGTTCTTCGTCTCCGTTGCCTCAACCATGGTGCCGTCCGCGAGTACGACGCGCGCAGCGAGGATGTTGTCGACACCGAGCCCGTAACGGCGGGAGATGGCGCCATATCCGCCGTGCAGCGTGAACCCGCCCATGCCCGTGTGCGACACCTGGCCGCCAACACCGCACAGGTTGAAGGCTGTTCGTGTGCAGTGTGCGGTGTGCGGTGTGCGGTGTGCGTGTGTGTGTGTGTGTGTGCGTGTGTGTGTGTGTGTGTAAGCAAGGGAAGTGTAAGAATAGCATGTGGCGCGCACACTTGGCTTGTAAGATGGGTGCGCGAAAACAGCAATGTATGATTGCACCGATGTGCAGACGGCACACATGCTGCACCGTTTGTTTCGAGGTCAAAGTCCTTGACAGTGGCGCCCATGCCAACCCATGCGGTGCGCTCCTCTGGGTCGACGTGCACGAAGTTCATGCGGGTCAGGCGGATGAGCACAGCGCCATCCTTGACGGAGCGGCCGGAGATGGAATGACCGCCGCTCATAACGGCAAACTGCAGGTTGTTGGAGCGAACCCAGTTCACTGCCACTTGGACATCTGTCGCTCCGAGTGGCAGCAGCACAACGCTGTCACCAACATGCGCACAGGAGAGGGAGGGGGAAGCGGCGTCAGAAAGATGCTTAGATTGTCCATCGACACGACCAGCCCCCCCCCCGCAAACAACAAGTAATGCACTCAATGTCACGTGACATGATGCGACCGCTGGCTTACCTGGGCTTCTTGTGCTCGTGGTCAGCGTTCCACGGCCTGCGGTACTTGTCGTAAGCGGGGTCTGACGGGAGAAGAAACTCCCCACGGAACCCCTCGGGCCTGGTCAGCGTCGAGGCCATTGTCGGGGTGGTGGTGATGTGAGGATGGAAGTGCGTGGAAAGTAAAGATGTAACATAACATAGCGCGCGTTGTTGTCTCTGCTGCTGCTGCTGCGCTTGCTGCTGTTGTTGTTGTTGTTGTTGTTGTTGTTGTTGTTGTTGTTGTACTTGCCGGCCTTCGTGGCTTCATGACGTCATCTCTGGCTGCCGTGGCCGCCAACCAACGCAGCAAACGTAGTGCGAGGACTGTTTGACGAACTTTATTTGAAGATGTGTGCAAATTTTCTACAACCGCAACCGCACTTGCCAACAACGAACAGATACGAAGACAGACACACACACAGACAGACACACACACACACACACAGACACAGGCACACACAGACACACACAGAGACACACAGATACACAACGATGGCTGGGAAGAAGAAAGGGGGAAAGAAAAAGGGAGGAAAGAAGAAGAAGGCAGCTGAGAAGAAGGAGAAGGGCAACCTGGTTCCGGGAATGGTGGCGGGCGGGATGCCGCTGACAGCGCTCACGCCACAGGGCCGCTCCATTGAGGTCGCCGAGCTGCGGTTCGCAACAGTCAAGTCCTTGAAGAACCAAATATCAGAGGCGGGACAGATGCCGGCAGATACAATGCGCTTGTTCGTGCAAGTGGCGCCAACGGAAGCGTCGGCATCAGGCTCGGGCGTCCGCTGCGTCAAGGACATTGAGGGCTACAAGTACGTTGAAGAGGGGGGGGGGGTGGGAGGTGGGGGTGTTTCTGCTCATGCATCCCTGTATGCGTGTGTGTGTGTGTGTGTGTGTGTGTGTGTGTGTGTGTGTGTGTGTGTGTGTGTGTGTGCGTGTGTGTGTGTGTGTGTGTGTGTGTGTGTGTGTGTGTGTGTGCGGGTTCGCGAGCGTGCGAACCCGAGCGTGTGTGCACGCGTCTTCAACCCCCATGCCGCCATGTTCGTTGCAACAATTGCAATCACGCCGATCATCCTCACACCGTTTCCTTCTCCTTCTCCTTCCGCTTCTCCTTCTGCTCACCCCTTTCCTTTCCCATTCCCTTCTCCTGCTTCTGCTTCTTGTTTGATAGGCCAGACTGGAAGTGGGAAAGGAGCATGCTGGTGAAGGAGCTGCATGACGATTGGACATTGGAGATGAGCGGGCTGCGCCCCACCAACATGGTGTACTTGCTGCGCAAACTGCCTGCCCTGCAGACCCTATCCCCCTTCCACCCAGCCCGCAGTCCCGCGTGCACGTGCCATGAGACCAGCGGACCCTCGACCACGCCGAAGCAGCCGGAGCGCAACACCTCCGCCGCCAAGCCCCCGCGAAAGCCGTGCCCTGTATGCGACGGCAAGACCGCCGTTGAGCGGTTTCGGGAGCAGGTTCTTCCCAAGCCGCCACCGCCCCTCGTCCTCCGAAACTCTGTGGCTCTCAGCCCCGCAGCACACCGCGCAAGCCAACCATGACCGTTCTGCGTTGTGCTTTGTTTGTGTGTGTGTGTGTGTGTGTGTGTGTGTGTGTGTGTGTGTATGTGTGTGTGTGTGTGTGTGTGTGTGTGTGTGTGCGTGTGTTGTGTGCGTGTTGTGTGTACATTTGCGTTTGTGTTGTACGTGCGTGTGCGTGTGTTTTGTGTGTACATTTGCGTTTGTTGTGTGCATGCCGTGATACACCACGTTCTTTGTGTTGTGTGCAGGCGTGGCTTAATCTCACGCGCAGTGCTGTCAGCATGAATGTGTTGGTGTGTGTGAATGTTTCTATGTGCATGCGTTTGCGGGTTGTTTCACTACCTTTGTCATCATTTCACTACGTTCGCCAACCGTCGCCCCTTGCTGCTTGCTGCCCCTTTTGCATGTCATCATGTGTGTGTGCATGTCACTTTATGTGTGTGGTCTCATGCACTCCCGCTGTCATCTTGGTTTCGGGGCAAGCCTTAGCCTCACCTTGACCCGTGTTACATCCACCTCCACAATACACAAATCAAGACGTTGCCGTTCTTGTTGTGTTGCGTGTGTAACTGCACACAAACAGCACAAATACAACCACACATGCTCGCAAACTTTAAGAAAAGGCAATGTCATCACATCACTGCATCCAAATACACACACACACACACACACACACACACACACACACACACACACACACGCACACACAAGTACACACACACACACGCACACACGCACCCTCACACAAAACAAAACAAACCAGAAGAGGCGCCAGGGTCATCAACGTGTTCACTTGTTTGCGTTCTTGTCAGGCGACTGCTGCTGCTGCTGCTTGCTTTGTGCTGTGTAGCGGTTGGCAAACAGCGGCGAAGGCTTCATACCACCACCACCGCTGCTGTTGCTGAAGAGGCCCTTGCCAAATGCTGTTGGCCCCTTGGCAGACGACGACAGAGGTGACGACAGTGACGATGGCGTGGTCGTCGGTGTCGCCTTGGCTGCGGTCGTCGATGTTGATGGGGTTGCAACCTTGCTGCTGGTGGTGCTGCTGGTGGTGCTGGTGGTGGTGGCGGGGAAGGAGACTGGCGTTGTGGGTTTGCTGCTGCTGTTGGTGCTGCTGCCACCGCTGCCAAAGCTCATGCCTGCAGACAGGCTCGTGCCCTTTGGCGTGAACTTCCCGCCAAACAGCGACTGGCCCGGTGTCGTCGTCGTCGTCGTCGTGCCGGTGGTGGAGGATGGGGAGGAGAAGAGGCTACCACCACCGCTGCCAGTGGTCTTGTTGCCGAAGCTAAACGGCTTTGTGCCGGGAGTGCTGGCTGCAGACTTCATTCCAAACAGCCCGCTCTTGCTCATAGACGACGCTGGCGGCGTAGTGATGGCGATGGTGATGGTGGTGGTAATGCAATGATAATGAGGCGAGGGCGGGAGGAAAGGAAATACAAACAAGGCAAGGGGCGACATGCAAACTGGGGTGGATGTGAACAGGGAGAGGGGGGACTCACACACTGTCACACACATGCTGTCACACACACACACACAAAAAAAAAAAAACGTGCACACACACACACACAAAAAAAAACGTGCACACACACACACACAAAAAAAAAAACGTGCACACACACACACAAAAAAAAAAAACGTGCACACACACACACACACACACACACACACACACGCGCGCGCGCGCGCGCTCTCTCTCTCTCTCAAACACACACACACTCTCACGTCACAAATGCGCGTGTGTGCATGTACATACCTGGCGTCGTGGTTGTCGACGATGGCGGCGTGGTCTTCTGGGCGGGCGAGATCCAGCCGCCAGAAGCAAACGAAAACTGGCCAGGTGTCGCGCTGCCAAAGCTCGCATTCACAGTACCATCCCCTTCCTCATCCTCATCCTCTTCGTCTTCATCTTCGTCATCCTCGTCTTCATACTCTGCGTATTCGTCGTCGTCGTCGTCGTCTTCCTCCTCCTCATCCTCATCATCATCATCCTCATCCTCATCCTCGTCGTCGTCGTCGCCTTGTGTGTCGCCCTCATACTCTTCAAGTTCATCCTCTTCATCTTCCTCTTCTTCATCTTCATCGTCTTCAACGTCTTCAGTCGTGTCGCTCTCGTCACTCAACTCCTCGCCTTCTTCCTCAGCCTCATCATCATCCGCAACAACAACATCACCCCACTCCTCTTCATCATCATCCCCCTCATCCTCCTCCTCCTCATCCTCGTCGCTGTCGTCGCTGTCGTCGTCATCATCCACCTCCACGCTTCGCGTGAACGGCTTGCCGAGCGACAGGCTACCACTTGCTGCCGTAAACGCAGGCGACAGCTTCAGCCCGCCAAACACACCGCCACCGCCACCGCTGCTGCTGCTGGTGGGTGTTGAAGCAGTGATCGAAGCCGTGGTTGGCGTCGTGGGTGTGATGGTGGTGCCCTTGCCAAAGCCAACACCACCACCAACACCAGCACCAGTGCGTGCGGCTGGCGTTGCTGGTGTCGTGGACGGTTTGCTGCCAAACGAAAACGCGGGTGTGCCGCCCGTAAACGGGGACGAGCCCGATGACAGCGCAGGCGTGGACGAAAACGACAGCGACGTCGACGACGATGATGATGGCGGGGTTGCCTTCGTCATAGGCGCTGTTGTTGCTGGTTTGAAACCAAGCAGTCCTGGCTTCGGCTGCTGCTGCTGCTGCTGCTGCTGCTGCTTTGTAGTAGATGGGGATGACGCAGCAAAAGGGGAGGAGAAGGATGTCGCTGGCTTGGCTGCAAACGGCGATGACGTGGTGAACCCAGGCGCGGTCTTGAACAGCCCTGGCTTCGGCTGTTGTTGTTGTTGCTGCTGCTGCTGCTGTTGTTGCTGCTGCTGCTGTGGTGTGGATGGCTTCGGGGAGAACGAAAACGACGACTTGGCGGCGGCAAAGTTGAAGGAAAGCTTGGGCTTGTCATCATCATCACCACCACCAACAACAGCCTGCTGCTGCTGCTGCTGCTGTTGCTGCTGTTGCTGCTGCTTCTTGGCTGCTGCTGCCTTTTCTTCCTCCATCTTCTTCCTCCTCTCCTCCTCCTTCTGCTGCTTCGTGCTGATCATCGACTGCATCGCCTTGCCGAGACCAAACCCAAGCCCAGACGTCACACCCGCCGACGGTGCCGCTGTCGTGAACTGCGCCCCCGTTGTCGCTGCAAAAGGCGATGTTGATAGTGGTGCTGCTGCTGTTATTGGTGTTGTTGCTGCTGCTGACGATGGCGAGTGCTTGTGTTGCGTGAGTGCAAACGGCTTGCCAAAGGGGGACGATGACGTGGGCATGGCCGCGGTCGGCTTCACCGGCGGCACCGTCACGCTCGGGGCGCAGTCGCCAGGCACCAGACCCTGCAGCAGTGGCACCAAGGCGGAAAGAGGGGGGGGGGTGCATGTGTGCGAATGTGTGTGTGTATTTGTGTGTTTGTGTGTGTGTGTGTGTGTGCGCGAATGAGGAATCAAGTCACCACACAGAGCGTGCAAGCGAGCAAGCCAGCCCAACGCAACACCTACAGCCACAGGCAACAAAACAAAACAACACAATTCGCCATGGAACGTGCCGCGCCACCTGGTCGTTCTCTGCGGTGGTGTCTGCGCCGGCGGATATGAGCGCAGCGGCCGTGTCGTCGTGGCCGCCCGTCCGCGCGTCGTGCAGCGGGGTGTCGCCCTGAGAGGATTAAGGGGTTGGGAGGGGGGGAGAGAGGTGGAGAAATGAAAGGATTGTATTCGTGTGTGTGTGTGTATGTATGTCATGTGTATTGTGTATGTGTGTGTGTGTGCAGAGCTGTCGTCTGTCTGTCTGTCTGTCTGTCTGTATGTCTGTATGTCTGTCTGTATGTCTGTCTGTCTGTCTGTCTGTCTGTCTGTCTCCCTCCCTCCCTCTCTCGTCCCACTGTGTGCGCGCACGTTGTTGTCGACGGCGTTCACGGGGGCCCCGCGAGCAGTGAGCGCCCGCACGGCGGCGGCGTGGCCAAAGAACGACGCCAGGTGCAGCGCAGTCCGACCCTGGTGATGAAGATGACGAGTGGCAGATGAGGTGAGGGGGACGAGCAAGGGTATGGTGGGGACGATGGGGAGGAGCGAGGGATGGATGAGGCCAGACACGGCAAACACACACACGTAACACACGTAACACACACACGTAACACACGTAACACACGTAACACACACACACACACACACACACGCACACACGTAACACACGTAACACACACACACACGCACACACGTAACACACGTAACACACACACACACACACACACACACACACACACACACACGCACACACGTAACACACGTAACACACGTAACACACACACACACACACGTAACACTGCGCACGTTGGCGGTGGTGGCGGCGATGGTTGCTTTTCCGAGGGCATCAATGACATCTGTGCAGCCGTTCATGGCCGCCAGGTGCAGCGGCGTCTTGTTCTACACACACACACACAAACGCACACACACACACATGTCGACAAGTGGTTGAGAATAATACAAACGTGGGCGTTGGCTGGGCCAGTGACATGAAAGTGTGACAAGACAGCAACGCCGAAAAACCGCAGGTGGCCGCAGCCTTTGCACAGCCCTCCAACGACAACCAGTCAAGCCAACACACACATACACACACACTTAACACACTGACCGTCTTGTCGGTGATGGTGGCCTTGGCATGGTGGCTGAGAAGGATGCGGACAACGTCGACATGGCCATTGCCGCTCGCGCAGTGCAGCGGCGTCCACCCCTGTACACACACAGACACGCACACACACATGCACACACACACACATGCACACACACACACACACACACACACACACACAGGCACACACACACACACATACACACACAGGCACACACACACACACACATGCACACATACGCGCTCGCAGAGTGAGCCGGGGTGTATTCGTATTGTGATGCGCGACAACCGCAGCCATGTCTGCTCGTGCAACACACAGCTACAAACTGCATGTACGACGCAAAACCACAACGGGTGACGTGCGAATGGCTGGCTACCTTGCTGTCTTGAGCGTCGACCTTGACCTTGTGCTGCAGCAGTAGCTCAACGGCCGACACTTTGCCGTGCAGGCTCGCCGTATGGAGCGGCGTCATGCCCTGAAACACACGGTTGTTGGGCGGAGTGTGAGGATTACCGTCAGAAGTGACAGGGAATGGGCCGAGTGCTGCTCACGTCCACACGCAAACAAGGGGAGGTGTAGACAAACCCTACCGTTGGTACACACACACACAGCACAGACACGGCCACAGGCACAGACAGAGATACACACACACACACACAGCACAGACACGGCCACAGGCACAGACAGACACACACAGCACAGACACGGCCACAGGCACAGACAGAGATACACACACGCGCGCACGCACGCACGCAAGCAAGCAAACACACCACAAACACAAACACACACACACACACACACCACAAACGCAAACACCACAGACGCAAACACCACAAACGCAAACACCACAAACACACACACTTGTCCTCATTCCTCACCCAGACGTTGGTTGCGGACGGGCTTGTGCCGGTCTTCAGTTGCTTGTCAATGGCAGCAACATCACCAGAGGCACATGCCTCGTGAAGCTCCCACTCACTCATCACGGTCACGGTCACGGTGCGTGTGCAGAGTGTCAACAGGAAAGGATGGGGACACCAGCGTCAGTGCTCACCACTTGCTCGCTCCGTTGCTTGTGTCTGTGCTGGTGTTCCACGTGTGTGTGTGTTCTCTTCGTCTTGCTTGCTTGCTTGCTTGCTTCCTTCTTGTTGTTTGCACAAGAAACGGTCCGACAATTTGCGAAAGATTCGCATTAAGTTTCCGCACTGCACTGGAGTTTCAGTGGCACACAAGAGAAAGGTTTTGTTTTGGTTGTTGTGTGTTGGAGAAAGTGTGTGCGGGTTGTGGAGAGGTGGCATGATGTGGCATGATGGTGTGCTCTTGCTCTGGTTGCTTTGCTGGTGTCTGTTGCGGTGTTTTGTTGATCGCAGCTATACTGCTGATCGAAGGTCGAATGGTGTATGATAGGACGGCACTCACACTCACACTCGCCTGCCTCATTCTCTCTGTGTTTGTGTGGTGGTGTTTGTTTCTCCCGTGTGTGTTTGTGTTGCCAGTCTGATCAACAAAGCGAGTGACCAACCCGACGAGGACGACGACGATGCTGGGGCGTGTGCTCATCGTCGCTGCGCTGCTCTGCATCGTGGGGCGTGCTGCCATCACAACAGCTGCCTTCCAAGGCAAGTGGGGAGAAAAACAAAAACAAAAAGAGCGCCTGTTGCATGGACGTGAGGAACAAGTCCTACTCGCGCTTCCCACCTGAACCCTGTTTGGGGTTTGCATATGTGTGCGTTGCCTGCTGAGCACTTATTGTCTTCTTTCTTTTCCTTGCATCTGCCGCACTGGCTGACAGATGAGGAAAGGATGTTCGATGGCCCGCCATCCTACGAACTGTTCAACTACAACCCTGTCGCAAACGCATCCGCCACCGTCATTGCCGGTGAGAGAGACAGAGAGCTGGCAGTCAGAAGTGGTGGGGGGGGGGGGAGGGAAGGCAATATATGCCTGTGTGTGTGTGAATTTACGTGAATGTGTGCGTTGGGTTGTGCAAGTCGCTTTGTTCTCTTTCTGGTCCACGCACATTCACACACACACACACACACACACACACACACACACACACACACACACACACACCACCACCACCACCACCACCAACAACAACAACACATCGATTAGGCGATGCTCGCTTCACGGTGCTGACGGATCGCCTTGTGCGTATGGAGTACGCGGGCAACGCCGCGGACCCGCGCTCGGCAACGCAGTACGAGGACCGGCCCACGCTCGCCTTCCTCAACCGCAACCTTCCCGTGCCCGCATTCACCCACTCCATCTCCAACGGCGTGCTCACCATCGCCACAAGTGAGCCGCTGCTGCAGCAGCTGTTGTTGCTGACATGATTGCCTGTGCTTGTTGTGCTTGTGGTTGTGGTTGCTGTGCTTGTTGGTGGTGGTGGTGTTGTTGTTGTTGTTGCCATGTTCAGGGTTGCTGGGGGCGTCCGCTCTGTGTGTCCTCGTCAGCTTTGCTCCATGCGTTGGAGTGTGGTTGTTTGCTCATGTTGATTGATGTTTGGTGTCCAATCACCGCTGTCATGTCACCTCGCGTCGCCTTGCATCACATCGCAGAGGCACTCAACATCACGTATGTTGTTGGAAAGCCTTTCAACTCCAACACCCTCTTTGTCACCTCAACCAACGCCAGCAGCTCGTTCAAGGTGCGGTTCTTGTGCATGTCCGCGTGGTTGATGGTGCGATTGTGTGTGTGTGTGTGCGTGTGTATGCGTGTGCGTGTGCGTATGTGTGTGTGTGTGCTTGTGTGTTCGTGCGTGTGTGTGTGTGAGGGATTGTGCGCGCGATTGTGTATGTGTGTGTGTGAGGGAGAGAGTGTGTGTACAATAACGCGGCATTTGTGTATGTGTGTGTATTTGATGTGCAGTCGTGGCGGTACGGTGACCGCAATGACGGGAACCTTCTGGGAACCATCAAGTCCCTGGATGAGCTCGGCGCTGAAACGCTCAACTGCACACAGAACGCCGACAAGCGCGTGCACGACGTACGAGGAAGATGGTGGAGGGAGGAAAGGGACTGCTGGTGTTGGTGTTGGTGTTGGTGTTGGTGACGATGATGATCGTGGTGGTTGTTGGTTGGTTGGCTGGTTGATTGTATAGATGGCGCTGCAACAACGTTGTTCATGTGTGGTCGTTGAAATGCCTCGCGCTTTCCTTCACTGACAGACACACTCTCGCGCGCACATACTCAACCACACGCACACTCAACAACACACACACACACACCACACACACACACACACACCACACACACCACACACACACACACACACACACACACACACACACACACACACACACACACACACACACACACATACACACAAACGCATGGCCACCCATGCGCGCCAACTGTGCTGACGTGCAGGAGTCGCTGCACTGCGAGTGGGGCGTTGTCTCGCGCGATGGCTGGGCCGTTGTCAACGACACCGACAACTGGTGAGCTGATGGTCCATAATGGTTCATGTTGGCTGGGGATGGGGATGCAGGGGGAGGAGAACTGGCTCAGTGATTGGGTCATGGGTACCCTCACGCTGTTTCGTTTACATATTCATCACGCCCCTTTTCTTGTCCTACCTTACCTCTCATCATCACGACGACGACTACCACCACCACCACTACCACCACCATCATCACCACCACGACCACCACTGCAACGCAGGGCGCTGACGAAGGGCGCGGAGTGGTGGGATTCCGTCAACGGCGATGCGGAGGATTTGTACTTTTTCGGCCACGGCAGCGACTACACGGGCGCCCTCGCAGACTTTATCAAGGTGGCGATGATAGTGGTGGTGATGGTGGTGGTTGTGGTGGTAATATTGGTCATGTGATGATTGTCATTGGTCGTGTGGTGGTGATGGTGGTGGTGCAGAGGAGTTGTTGGTGTTGTCGTGAGTAGTGTCGACGGAGTGTGATTTCGGTGCTTGCTACGCACTCCTCTTGTCTGCCAATCCTCATCACCACTTAAACCGTACACCCACCTCAAACCTTCACCACCACCACCACCACCACCACCACCACCACCACCACGAACACGTCAGATTGGAGGCCGCATTCCGATGGTGCCGCGGTATGCGACCGGTGTCTGGTTCACGCGCTGGTACGACCTCAACAACGTCGACGTCAGGAAATACATCCAGGGTGAGTGGAGTGGCATGACTTGGTGTCTGTGGTGATGATGGTGATGCTGGTGACGGAGACTGCGCCGTGATGGGCTGGGATGGTGTGTGCATGCATGTGCATGTGTCAATGAAAGCCGGCAATGAATTTCTTGACCACACGATTAATCCACGAGCATGCGTGTTTGTGTGCCCACGTGTGTTTGTCTATGTGTTTTGTAGACTACTCTGACCGCGGGTTCCCACTGGACGTCTTTGTCCTCGACATGAACTGGCACACCAAGGTGGCCCACTGATGTGTTTGACAAAGCCACCGCACGTACTCTCATTGGTTACAGTTGTTGGTTTGTTTGTTGATGGGTTGGTTGGTTGGTTGGAATTATTGGAGTGGCTGATGTGAGGTGTGGGGAATGAGTGCGGCAGTCACGCGCACTCACTCAATCGAATCACCCACCCCTCGCTTCCGCAAACACACACACACACACACACACCATGCTTTTCCGCAAACAACCACCACCACCACCACCACCACCACCACCTCATGCGCGTGTGCCAGTACCACTGGGGCGGGTACACGCCAGACCCGCACCTGTTCCCGTATGTGAACGACACGTTTGACTTCATGCACACCGTTGGCCTGCACACGGCCGGCAACCTCCACGATGATGACGGTGTGCACAACACCGAGGAGCGCTTCGTTCCGCTCTGCAAGGTGCTGCTACTGCTGCTGGTTGTTGCTGTGGTGATGGTGTTTGCGAGAGGGGTGGGGGAGGGAGGCAGGGTGTAAGGGATTGCTGCTGTGGCGCAGACGCTGTGCTGTTGTGTCATTGTGTTCTGACCATCCTATTCAACCATCCACACCCCCACTCAACTCCACATGCCACCCTCCACCCCTCCAACCTTAATGTCCGCAGGCGCTTGGCCTTGACCCCATGAAGACGCCGCAGGTCAACTTTAGCGCCGTGGACAAGGATTACGTGTACAGCGTTGAGGACATTGTGCTGCAGCCGTTGCCGTTTGACTTTTGGTGGATCGACTGGCAGCAGGGCGGTGAGGTGGTGGTTGAGTGTGAGTGTGTGCATGAGTGTGTGTGGTTCGTGTGGTTCATGGGCTGTAGTGGCACATGCTGTTTGGCCATTGCTGCTGCTGTTTATGCAGCACACGCGCATCACATGTCGGTGTCTGTGTCTACGTCTCTTATCTCGCTCAACACACATGCACACATGCACATGCACATACACGCTTTCCCTCAACGTTGCTGCCTGCAGGCACGCAGGGCGGGTGCGCGGGCGGCAAGCAGAATCCCACCATCTGGACCGACAAGATCCGGGTGACGACACCCAAGCGCCAGGGCCGCACTGACCGCGGCTTGGTGCTCGCACGCTGGGGCGGGCTCGGTGCGTTATCGTAGTGGTTGTGGTTGTGGTGGTGTTGTTGTTGTTGTTGTTGTTGTTGTTGTTGTTGTTGTTGTTGTTGTTGTTGTTGTTGTTGTTGTTGTTGTTGTTGTTGTTGTTTAAGTTGTTGTTGTTGTTGTTGTTGTTAGTTGTTGTTGTTGTTGTTGTTGTTGTTGTTGTTTAAGTTGTTGTTTAAGTTGTTGTTGTTGTTTAAGTTGTTGTTGTTGTTTAAGTTGTTGTTGTTTAAGTTGTTGTTGTTTAAGTTGTTGTTGTTTAAGTTGTTGTTTAAGTTGTTGTTGTTTAAGTTGTTGTTAAGTTGTTGTTGTTGTTTTAAGTTGTTGTTGTTGTTGTTGTTGTTGTTGTTGTTGTTGTTGTTGTTTAAGTTGTTTAAGTTGTTGTTTAAGTTGTTGTTTAAGTTGTTGTTTAAGTTGTTGTTGTTGTTTAAGTTGTTGTTTAAGTTGTTGTTGTTGTTGTTGTTGCTGTTGTTGTTGTTGTTGTGGTTGTTGTTTAAGTTGTTGTTGTTGTTGTTGTTGTTGTCACATGTGCGCGTAGCGTTTGTTCTCTCAATTGTGGAGCTCGTCGCTACCACGTGCACATGCGCTTTCGTTGTCATCTCGCATTCCACTCATGCCCACAGCGCGCTGTTGCCTGCAGGCACACACCGGTACCAGGTTGGGTTCAGTGGTGACGTTCTTGCCCTGACGTGGGGCAACCTCGCCTACCAGCCCTATTTCTCCCTCACGTCTTCAAATGTCGGCTACGGATTCTGGTCACACGACACCGAAGGTGCGTCGTGAGTTGGTGGTGGTGGTGGGAAGGCGGAGCCGGTATAACAGGTGCAACAGATGTGATGTTGTTCGTGGTTATTGTGGTTGTTGCTGTTGTGATGATGGTGTGCTGTTCTTGTTCATTTGTTCGTGCCCTCTCCACCATCAGCATCCTCATTCACGTTATCCTCCTCCCGCCGTCACCACAATGCCTTGCCCTCCTCCCTCTCTCCTCATTACCACATCACCACACGATCACAACCACCACCGCCACCACGACCAATCATCATCATCATCATCATCATCATCATCATCATCATCATCATCATCATCATCATCATCATCATCATCATCATCATCATCATCATCATCATCATCATCATCATCATCATCATCATCATCATCATCATCATCATCATCATCAGATCCCTGGCATTCCCGTGACTGCCGGCGACACGATTGGTGTTGCGCAGCGGCAGTTTACGTCCCTCGTCCTCACCATCTACCCCGGCGCAAGCTCCGGGCAGACTCGGGTGCGGTGGTGCTGTTGGATGGCGATGGTGCTGGAGGCGATACACATGTGAATTATGTTTTGGGGTTGTTTTGATTTTTGGTTTGGTGTTCTGTGGTTTGTGTTGTCTGATGTGAATGTTCTGCACTGCTGACATCTCAACACCAATGGCATGCCCAACCTCTCTCATCCTAACACACACACACACACACACACACACACACACACATATATATATATATACACGCACGCACGTACGCACACACACACACACACACACACGTACACGCACGCACGCGCACAGGTGTATGAGGATGATGGTGCATCGACTGCATATCTCAATGGAAAGTACGTGTGGACGACAGTTGCGTACACACGCACGAGCACGGGCATCAACATCACCATCAGCAGCGAAGGCGGCTACAACACGTTCCCATCCAAGGTGTGCAGATGTGACTGCATGTGGGATACTGATGACGTGCGTGTGCGCCTGTGTGCTCGTGAGCCGTTACTGCCCATGCTTGCAACACGAAACCTCATTTGCCCACACACTCGATATTTCCCTCACAGACTCTCACCCACGCATTGTCTCATTCTGTCGCACCCACACCCTCACTCGCCCTCTTTGCACGCGCGGTTGCAGCGCGCGTATGTGATTCGTCTGGTGAACACCAATCCGCCACGCACGGCAGCCGTCAACGGGGAGCGCCTCGCCTCGTCCAGGGTACGCACTCGCACATCAACCATCAATCAGCGCAGCGCCAGTGGCAGCAGCAGCAGCAGCAGTGGCAGCAACAACGAGAACCAAAACAACCCACTTGATCTTTATTCGTTTCTCGTTCTCTTGTGCTGTTCTGCCCCCATCCCACGGCTTCCACCCACCCATCTCGCTTCATCTCGTGCACTCACGCACACAAATGACCACACTCGCACACTTATACACTCCATTCACCCACTCACCCATCCACCCATCCGTGCATGCATGCATTCGTCTCCTCCTCCAATTGCGTGTGTTCAGTTTGGCGGATCAGCCACGCATTCGTTTGATGGCAACGAGATGACGGCTATCATTGAGACGGCCGACGTGTCCACTGCAGGCAAAACAACAATCACCGTCACCCACGACGAAGGTAGAGTGATGCTGCTGATGGCGGTGCTCCTTTTGTGCATGTGTTCGTGCGTGTGTTCGTGCGTGTGTTCGTGCGTGGTGTTCGTGCGTGGTGTTTGCTTATCCACGGATATGTTTGCACGCGTGTGCACCGCATATGGCCGACCTTCCTGACACATCTGCTCACATTCCCCAACATTCACACACACACACACACACACACACACACACACACACACACACACACACACACACACACACACACACACACACACACACACACACATGCACCCTCCCCCTCCCACGCGCTGCTGCGACAGTTGACGAGTCGTTCATGTCTGGTCTCTCTGGGATGATCAAACACGCGACGCTCAGCAAGCGCAACCTCGATGAGGCCCGAGCAACGCCCGGCGCACACACACCCGTCGGCGGCAACCTGGTACTGCATTGCATGCACACACCATTGTCGTTTCTGTGTGCATGTGTATGTGGGTATGTGTGTATGTGTGTATGTGGGTATGTGTGTGTATGTGTGTATGCGTGTGTGTGCCTGACTTGTTGCTATTGTTTGCGGCTGAGTGAACACACACGCGCGCGAATTACGTATGTGCCGGTTGCTTTAATCATGAACACACACACATGCACATGCACGAACAACAGATGTCGCTGTCCTCTGCTGGGGAAGCGCTTTCATATCTCGCGCACGCGCAGCCGGACGCCGTGCAGTGGAAACTGAACTCCGTGCCCACACTCTACAAGGCCGCTCTAGCCGAGCTCATCAACGGTAGCCCACGCTGTCGTGTGTTGCGTGTGTGCGTGCGTGCGTGCGTGCGTGCGTGCGTGTGTATGTGTGTTTGTGTGTGTGCGTGTGCATCTGTGTTGCTTGTTCTGTCTGTCACGAGTGCACTCCCGTTCCACACCCTTCCTCTCATCCTTCCTCACCCCCTTATCCATCCCCGCGTCCTATCCTTGCCCCCATGCCAGGCTCCAAGACGGACCCTGCGCCCACGCCCGATCAGACGCTTGTGCAGATGTTTTATGGCAGCGAGAACGACCACGTGTTGTGCGGCACCCTCAACTGTCTCACAGAGAACGCATACTACTCCAAGGTGGGCGGTGGCGTTGTGGAGGCACAATCGTACGACTCGTTGTACGTGTGTGTGTGTGTGTGTGTTTGTGTGTGCGTGGATCTGTTCGTTGTCCATCTGCCTATCTGCCTGCCTCTCACACGTGTTCACACATATACACACACACACTCACACATATACATACACACACACATGTACACACACGCTGTTGCGTTTGACAGGTTGGCGTTGAAGGGTACATGCCCACGTCCCAAACGCCGTTCACAACGCCGCTGTTTGTCTATTGGAACAACCAGCAGTCTCCACAGAAGGACAACCTCGTCACCACGAGCACCAACGTGCGCGCGTGACTCGATTGCTTGCTTGGTTTGTAGGGTTGCTTGGTAGTTGGGTTGCTGGGTGGTTTGGCTTGCTTTGCTTGGGTTTTTGTCTGTTGTGCATTTGCTATTGTTCTCCCCAGTCTCTTGCCATTCACACACATGTTGATTCACCTCTCTACCTGTGTGTGTGTCTCTCTCTCTCTCCTTCTCTCTGTCTGTCTGTGTGTCTGTCTGTGTGTCTGTCTCTCTCGCGTGCGCCGCCATGGCCAACAACATGACTGGCGGAGCAGCCACCCACCGGGTACGTGCTCGGCGACTACCAGAACAACGGGCAGGTGTTTACACGCAAGGACGCGGCACCTGGCCTCATTCCGTTGCAGCTGTGGTACAAGGCGAGCATCAACGACCACATGACCCTCGCATCGTACGTCCACGGAATGTGACGGGCGTGTTGATGTGTGTGTGTGTGTGTGTGTGTGTTCTGTGTGTTTGAATGTGTGTGAGCGTGTGCGTGTGTGTGTGAATGTGTGTGTGCGTGTGCGTGTGTAAATGTGTGTGTGTGTGAATGTGTGTGTGCGTGCTGATGCGATGCAGTTACAGCCTTGACTTCCCCTCACTCGCCCCTGGCTTGCCCTCCCTTCCTCACCAAACACACACACACACACACACACACACACACACACACACACACACACACACACACACACACACACACACACACACACTCTCTCTCTCTCTCTCTCTCTCTCTCTCTCTCCCCCCTCTCTCTCTTTGCAACGCAAATAGGAAAGCGAGCGAGCAGTACGCCAAGGACAACGGCTACGAGCTTGTGAACGGCGAGCTTGGGTACATCTACGAAAGTGACCCGTACCAGCAGCAATCGCAGCAGCAATCGCAGCACAGGTACGCGTGTTGTGTTGTGTTGTGTTGGGCTGGATGACCAACTCTGTGCGAATCCTGTGCCAGCCCACGCATTCCCTCACATCCACCCTCAACTACACACACACACACACACACACACACACACACACACACACACTTTCACACACGCACACACTTTCACACACACAGGTCGACGTGGCAGCAGTTGGCGGATGCGCGCACAGATTACAGCATTGCGCTGCTCAAGAACGCCGTCGTCAACTAGCTCTGGCCACTGATGCACTGTACTGACTTCTGCCACCTTCCAGAATGTGTTGTTGTTTTGTTTGGTTTTGGTTCCCCTTTGGTGCTTTGTTTCTCATTGTTCTGTTTTCTTCGTTTGTGTGTTCTGTGTGTGTGTGTGAAACCACCATCTCGTCTCTTCGCGAAGAACAACAGTCACACACCAGCACCAACTTCAACAACAAGCAACCAAGACAGGACGACAAACCACAACAAACCACCACAACAAACAACAACAGACAATCATTTCAATGCACAACCAACCAAAGCACCTGAAACGAAAAGGGACGCGGGCTCGATTGCTGTGAATGTTATGGAGAATATTCTTTGCAACGCGCGCCTTTTCGTGTCACGTTGGCGTGCACGTGAGTGCTCGAGGACAAGCTGCAAGTTGTCCACATTCGATACAAACGCGTTCCCAACGGTTCGCGCTGTCCCGCTCTCCCAACACCTGTCCCACCCAGCATTGCAATCTGCGTGCGGAAAATGTGCTGAAGTCTTTGGTAATATATTGGCAGTTCCCATCGTAGGGCACGTCATTACGCAACACGTCATGTCTAAACCCCGCCCGGTTGCTCGCGTCAGAAACGAATTGTCCCAGATGTCCCGTTTGACACACATGCCAGCACGCAGCCCCATGCGGCATGCAAGTGCTGGAACGAAACAGGGCTGGGCTCACCTGCAATCCAAGAAGAAGAAGCAAGTGCAAGAAGGCATGAGAAGCAAGCAAGCAAGCAAGCAAGAGCAAGATGAAGGCAAGCAACGGCAACCAACTCACATCACCAAAATCAAAACCGCCAGCCAAACGTTGTGTGTGTGTGTGCCCGCTGTGTGTGTGTGCGCGTCGTCGTCTGCCTCCCACCCCCTTCCCGCTCTCTCATCGCGTTCGCCAACTGCTCTTGCGCGCGCCCAGCGTCAAACCACCACAACCCCCCCCCCCGAACAGCACAAACCTTCACTCACAAGCATCATCTTGTCCCCCCCCCCACAACTACTATCATCATCAAGAGGTTGCGGGTGTTTGCGGGGGGTTTTGATTGGGTGAAGCGCCAGTTGTGGGTGTGTTTGTTGATGCTTTGACGTAACGCAGCGACTAGCGTGAGTGAACCTAGCAGAGGGAAACACAGACCCACCTCAACACCCTCAACACCACTGCACACTCATTGCGTTTGAGACTGTGCGTTGGTGTGTTTGCACACCCAACCTATCTGCACGGCGCACGGCCATCATCCACATTGCTCTTCTTCAACCAGCGAAAGCAAGGTGGGTGGCTGTGCGTGCGCTGTTGTTGACAGCCGTTGTTCTGTCTGTTGCTGTTGTTGGTTGATGTTGTTCGTTGGTGGTGTTGCTTCTTCTTCCCCTTCTTCCCTTGGCTGTAAGGACTGTGCTGCTGTTGGGCGCATGTTGGCTGTTCCTGCAAATTGGCTTGTCGTTTCGTCTTGCATACATTTGCCATCCCCACTTTCCGCCCCTGCAACTCCACATCCCTTCGCGTCTCGTGTTGCTCTTGCGCACCGCGTGTTGCTTTCGTTTCTCGTTCCTCTCCCCTCCTCTTTCTTTCTCTCTCAACAACAACCACCACCACCACCAGCTCCACCTCCACCACTGCCAAGCCTTACACCTTTGCTTGCGATCACCTGGTACACACGCTGTTGTTGCCTGTCTCCTCTTCCTCGTGCAGTCGTGCCCTTCGTCTTGTCCCACACGCCTTCCTTGCACCTGCACGTTGCATGCACATGCCACACGCGCGCAAGGGGGAGTGAGTGCTTGCGTCGTGCTCTCCCTCGCCATCGTCTCACACGTCTTCTCTCACGGTTGCTTCCCCTTTGCAACACCATCACTGTGCGACTGCGCACCAATCTCCACACCGCTTCATTTGGCATTTACCGACGTGTCATCATCATCACTGCTGTTGACGTTCTTCGTTACCTGAACCGCACCCACCCTTGCGTCATTGCTTGCTCCGCGCACACGACGTGTGCATCCTGTGCCGTACATCTCACATCACACCGTTCTCCTCCCTGCTGTCTGATCACACACACACACACACACACACACACACACACACACACACACACACACACATCCACACCAATCGAATCTTCACCCGTCCTATCAACGTTTGGTGTTTGAAACCCTGCACACCAGGTGTGACTTCACCTATTCGTGTGCGTCTGTGTATTTGTGCTGCGACATCGACACTCGCGATCAAACTCAAGGTAACCAACCCGCACATCTGCACACGTGCACGCGCGTGCACACACGCAAACCACACACACCACATACGCACACACCCAACTTGTCAACGCTGCAACGTGACCTTGCCTGCCTGCGCCACAACAGCCAGCATGACACAATCCAACACTTCCCACCGCCGTTGCACACGCGTCAACGCCTCAGCCTACACGCACAACATCAACGATTGCCACCCCCATCAATCACAATTCCCCTCAACCCACATGCGCACAAGGCACATCAGCAGTGGCAAGACCGGTCAGCACCAGCCACCCCCACCCCACACCACGCACTCACGCACGCACAAGCACACACACGCCCGTTCGCAATCACACTCTTTGCATGGCGAGTTGGTGACAGCCTCAACACACGTTGCTTGCCTTTCCAACGCTCGCCCCACCCGCGCGTGCGCGCGCGCACACACACGCACCCAACGTCCATTCTCATCATCATGCATGGTCTTTGCTGACCCCGATCTTGGCCATTCTCCCCACGCAGTTGCTCACTCACCCGTGCATCCGCCTACTTGCTTGTCGTGTGCTCTTGAATCCATGTCCCTCTTCGCTCTGCATCATCTGCCAACAACGATCAAAACCATCACCGGCGACGTCGACTCTCCCACTCCTTCACACCAACACACACACACACACACACACACACATATTGGTGCTCGTCTTTTTTCTTGGCGTTGGCCCAACGGCACCATCGCTTCTCCTCCTGCGGTGTCAATCACAACTCAACGCCTGATTCTCTCGGTGCATCCACACACACACACACACACATACACATACACACCTACGTACACACACACACACACACATACGCACACCGTTGTTGTTTTGACGTTCTTCAAACGACACACCCGCTTGCTGACCTTTTCGTTGACCGTCCTTGTTGTTGTTTGCTCTTCTTCTTCTGTCTGTGGCCTCGTTTCATTGTTCTTGTTCTTCTGTTGTGTGCGCGGCTCGTTTGCACGTCCCCTCGATCCCTCGTTGCACATTGTGGTTCATGCCTGTCTCCATCGTCACTCCCGCAGCACACACGTGACTGCACACACCCACCACACAAACACGAGCACGCACCTGAGCCCCGAAACATCTCAACGGTGAGTGGGACGACCCAGTTGTCTTGTTGCTCGCACTCGTCGCTCCTCTCCCACCGCCTTCCATCCCACGACACCTAGATCTGTATTTTCTCTCAAGGCCCCCTGACTTTCTTTCTTTCCCCCCTTCCGCATACCCCCCCCCCACCCCCCAACCTCCACCCTTCCCAATCTTCTCCCTGTTCATGTGTGTTGCTCCGTGCCACCCACACCACTCGTTTGCAACGCCAGCTGTGCTTGTGGCAAGACTTGGCACATCACATGTGCCCTCGTTCAAAGCTGGTTTGCCTGCAAGCATCTTGGTGTGATTTTTTTCGACCCCATTCGTTTTTTCCCCTCCCCTCGCCGCCACCCCATTCAGTCAACAACCCTACTGGTTTCCGTTGTTTCCCTCTCCTTCTCCAAAACCAACTCCAAGGCACAACAAGCAACAACGTTTCCCCCCTGATTCTGAACTTTTACCCCTCTACTTCAAGCTCGTCCATCCGCTTTTGATTTTGACCTAGCCACCCCCCCCCCTCTTCCTATCTCTCTTCCTCTCTCTCGGTTCCTTTGTGTGCCACCACCGAGTGGCGACAAAGCCGTTGCACAGAGCTGTGTGTGTTCGCCAGCACTGTCTGGCCTACATATTGTTGACCAGCCACTTTCTTCTTCCCAACCTCCACACACGGCAAGCGACCAAGCAAGTGGTTGCAGCCGCTGAGCCGACACTGCGGCTTCTGGGTCGTCGTTGCCTCCTCCTTCCCGTTATTCATCACTGCTTGTTTTCCCCTCCGCATTGTTTCTCGTGGCTTCTGTTTGCCCCCCCCCCCTCCCACATACCTGTGCATCTCTGCTTGCCTCCCTTGTCTCATCGACTTGTCTCCGCTCGCCTCCGCTTGCCTCCGCTTGCCTCCTCTCTCTCTCTCTCTCTACAAAGTCTGTCATCACCGTTGCCTGTTTCAAACAATTGTGTACCCCTCTCCTCACTTGGGCCAAACCGCTTGTGTTCTGCACCTGATCTCAGTGGTCAGCACCCTTGCCCCCCCTCCTTCTCTTGCTCGTTTTCGCTGCTCTCAACACACACACACGCACACACACACACACACACACACACACACACACACACACACACACACACACGCACACACACACACACACACACACACGCACACACACACACACACACACACACACACACACACACACACACACACACACACACACACCGATCTTTGGTGTTGCTGCTGCCCTGTTGTGATCGGCCCTCTTTTGTTTTCTCCACGTGCATGCTGTCTGTTCCTTCACACTCGCTAACTTCATTGCTCCTGTCGCTCACGATTGCGTGCACGGTCTTTGATTGTTTGCCTTGTGATTGCGTTAGGGTCAGTCCAAACCGAGGCAGGCATTGAGCCACTGCTACGCACGTGTCCACAACGCACAAGCCCGCTTTCGTCGAGACAGCCACCTCTTCTTGATCTGCCTGTTCCGTCGTTGCCGGGTCTTTGCGGCCTCTGCGTGTTGCGGGTGCAGCAAGGTGACGTGACCTCATTAGCACAATGGCGCAACGCCCAGCAGCGCCGGCAACAACCGCGGGTGCAACAGTACATTTGCAGCACCCTACACCTCAGCAGCAGCTACAGCAACAGCAGCAGCAAATGCACCAGCATCCCGGACCGTTTCCAGGCATGCTCGGATTCCAGTCACCACAAATGCACGCATTGCAACAGCAACCCCAGCAGCAACAGCAACAACCTACACACATGTACCAGCAGTGGATGCATGCACCGCACATGCAGCACCAGCAGCAACAACCAGGGGCGCAGCAAGTGATACCGTCCGTGTTCAACCATCCGCAACTCTACAGCTTCATGCACGGGCAACAACAGCCACATCAGCAACCACAACAGCAGCAACAGCAACCCTCAGTGAGCAATGCGACCGGTACAGGGGGCGGCGGCTACGTCCCACCCGATGGTGGGGTGTTGCAGCAACAGCGCATGTTCCACGCGCCGCCGTTTTCCCTGCCATCGTGGCTACAGGTGAGCGGTGCACATCCTTGGGCGCAGCACGGCCACCACCACCAGCAACACCAGCAACACCAGCAACCGCAGCAACAGTTTTTGCAACAACAGCAACCCATCCAGCCCCAGCAGAAGAAGCAAGCGGTGATACCCTCGGTCGTGGCTGGCCCAGGCACGGCTCGTGGCAAGCGCACCTCGTCCCCGCTCGCCATCGCAACATCCACTGGCGGGAAAGCGGCAAAGACAACCGGCTCAACGTCGTCGGTGAAGGCGCGGCGACAGCGTGCAGGAAAGGGTGACAGGCGGCAGCACCGCAGACAGCAGCAGCAGCAGCACGCAAGGGGTGCAGGGCGCGCGGTCTCATCTGGGCGGTCGTCTAGCGACAAAGGCATGGACACGCACACGGACATTGAATGCTCGGGCGTGACCGCGGCAGGCCGTCGGCGTGGTGGAGCTGACGGTTACGATGAAGTCGGTGGGGAACAAGACGAGGGAGGTGATGAAGATGAAGGCAGGGGCCAGGGAGAAACCGCCTCTGCTCAACAACAGCAGCAACAGCAACGGCAACGGCATCAGGTGCAGCCTGGTCCGGGCACGCTTGCTCTGCAGCAGTCATCAGCATCTCCCCAACCGTCGTCATCCTCTGTGCGCGGGGCAAAGAAGCCCGTAGGTGGTGACGGGAGCCAAGGCGCAGGGCACGGCATGCATGCCTGGCCAGGCTCCATGTCTGCGTGGATGTCGTCGCACCTGTGGCCAAAGTCGGAGCAAACGGCAACAGAGCCCACCGCCCCGTCGGCACAGCTGCAAATCAAGCAGGAGCAGCAAGCGGCGTCACCGCAGCAGCCGCAGCAGCACCCTGGCGTGCTGTCGTCTGCGTTGCAGTCGATGTTGCACCCAGGCATGCCTCCGGCAGCGATGGCACAAGCACTACAACAGCTGCAGCAGCACCCACACCAGCAAACGGCGTTCGCGCCGCAGGCAATGCTGCAAATGTTGCAACAGCAGCAACAGCAACAGCAGCAACAACAGCAGCAGCAGGACCCAGGCGGCAGCTTGACATCTGTGCCGCCGTCACAGGTTATGGCACAACTTGCTGCGCAGAATATGCAAGGTGGCCACCCTGGGTTGGCAAACTTCGCGGGTCTGCCATCACAGGGTATGCAGCCTGCTGGTATGCAGCAGTTTGCTCAGCTTCAGCAGTACCTGCAACAGCAGCAACAGCAGCAACAACAGCAGCAACAGCAACAGCAACACCAGCAGCCACAAATACCCTCTGTGCTCGGGCCACATGGAGGCTTTCCTTTCCTACCACCACCGCATGGCATGCAGTACCCAGGATCCGCGCAGGGGCAGGGGATGGGCATGCCCATTGCGCTGCCGCCAACAAACATGGATGCGCACCTCTCAAGCACCGTGATGCCACCGCCACATCTGCGCGGCCTTCCAACAGACCCTGCTGTGCGCTCACGCGAGTTGTTGCAGACCATGCCAGAACAGCACCGCCACCCGCAACCGCCGCCGGGCCAGGCTGGCAGCCAGGTCGTCTGTCCCATCTGCCATCGACGCGGCCGTCAATCGCCCACGAGGTGTGTGTTTGGTTGTGTGTGTGTTTGGTTGTGTGTGTGTTTGGTTGTGTGTGTGTTTGGTTGTGTTGTGGTGTGTGTTGTGTTCTGCTGACAGTTGCACATTGATCGTGTGATTTCTTGCTGACCGCGGATGATTGGCGAATAATTTTCGCTGATTTTCACCGTTCCCAATGAATTGTGATCGCGTGTTGGGCGATTTCTTCTGCAATGCAGAATATGCTCCGTCTGCTACAGGTGCGGTGCATCGGTTGTGTGCGCGCGCGCGTGTGTGTGCTGGCGTATGTGTGTGTGTGTGTGTGTGTGCGCGCGTGCGTGTGTGTGTGTGTGTGTGCTGGCGTATGTGTGTGTATCCTGAGATGGGCTTCGCTGGTCTTCTGTGGCAGAGGCGTAGCCCATCAACAGATGTGTTCATTGCTGAAATGCACCCTCACGCACACACTCCCACGCACGCACTCACACGCACGCACTCACACGCATGCACTCACACTTACCTGCACCTGTATTGCAGTGGGCTGTACAATGACGTGCGCAAGTGGAAACGAATGGTCGGCAACGATGTAGATCCTCACATGACCATGGAAGACTTTTTGCAACGTACGGAGTGGTGTACGGCTGTGTATGTGTGTGTGCACGCGCGTGTGTTTCGTTGTGTGTTGTGTGTGTGTTTGTTTTGTGTGTGCATTGTGGGTACTTTTTCATGTGCATGTGCATGCGTGTGCACAAGTGCGAGCGTCATTTTATTCTTCCCCTCTTTCTGTTCGTTGGTTTTGTCTGTTGGTTCTCGCTGTGCGCGTGCACGTAAACATGGTGTGGATGAGCTGTTGTCGCACGTGTGGTGCATAGTTGCGAATGGATTATGCTTTCTTGCTCAGCTCACACCTGGCACTCATTCCCTCCTCCCCTCTTCCCCACACTCGCATACAACACTTCAGAATTGAAAGCCATGCCTCGTGGGTGCACCAATGGCTATCGCTGCAACTATGAACGAACCAGTGGTGGGTTGATTTCTTCATGTCAATTGTGTGTGTGTACGGGTGTGTTGTGTGACCGAGCGCGCGCACGTGTGTATTGAACACCTGTGTGAATGCATGTGTATGCGTGTGACAGACAACAGTCGGTCGCGCCACACATTTATCGTTTTCGAAGCCATTTTGTTCGCCTGACGTTCCCCATTGCATTGCGGATGACACGGCGCTACAATCATGCCGCTTCTCTTCATTTCATCCTCCCCGCTCTAACATTGTTGCATCATAACCCACTCTTGATACTGAAGCCTCGCCGCAGTGCACACGCTGCCGCACCCTCAAAGTCTGCGCATTTGCGCCTGAACTGCTGCAGCGAAGTAAGCGCGCGCGTGTGTGTTTGTGCGTGTGCATGTGTGTTTCCGTTCACGTGCGTGTGCGTTTGCGTAAGGCTCATATATCTGAGCCTGCGTTTGCGTCAGAGTGGCCTTGGGTTGATGTGAAACGAGGGCACAGCATTTCCCAGCCAAACCCATTGTCCACTCACTCTCCCTGCAACTGAACCCACAACGCTTTGTCTTCTCACTCCCTCCCTCCCTCCACCACCATCACGCCAACACGCAACAACAACAACAACAACAACAACAACAACAACAACAACAACAACAACAACTTAAACAACAACAACAACAACAACTTAAACAACAACAACAACAACAACAACAACAACAACAACAACAACAACAACAACAACTTAAACAACAACTTAAACAACAACAACAACAACAACAACAACAACAACAACTTAAACAACAACAACAACAACAACAACAACAACAACAACAACAACAACAACAACAACAACAACAACAACAACAACAACAACAACAACAACAACAAAAACCACCTCTTCCCAATGAATGCAGTTCTGCGTCGCATGGTGCTCAGGCGCGGGCCTGCCTCTGCTGTCAAGGGAGGCGAGGACGACTTTGAGCCCGGCGACAGCGACGACTTGGTGGGCAGTGGCCGGCCAAGCGACGACGATGACGATGATGATGATGATGACGACGATGACGAAAAGGTGCATGGTCGCGGCGGCAGCGGAAGCAGTGGCAGCAGCAGCAGTAGTAGTGATGGTGGTGGTGGTGGTCACGGCGAGACCGGCCCTGTTGTAAAGAATGACGACGACGCAGAGGTAAACGCGGTTGCTGAAGCGTTGCGTGCAGGCACACGACCAGCGACAAGCACAGCCGATGACGACGACGACGACGACGACAACAACAGCAACCAAAACAACAGCAACCACAACAGCAACAGCAACCACAACAGCAACAGCAACAACAACAACAACAAAAGCAACAGCAGCAACAGCAGCAGCAGCAGCAACAACAACAACACCAGCAATGACACGAGTAACGACAGCGATGGTGATGGCGCTGGCGAGTGCACGGATGGGCACCACTGCCCCAAACCCATGGATGTGGGGATGGACATGCGTGCGGCTGCCAACGCAAGCTCACGCGCGTCGAGCGAAATTGCCGATTCTGAGGAGAAGTTAGGTCGTGTTGAAGTGCGCCCGGGCCCTGCAGCGGAAGGTAGCAACGCCAACAACAACAACACCAACAACGCCAACATCACCAAAACCAACAACGGCAATGGGCATAAGGCAACAGCGCGCACGGCCAGGGCTTCCCCGCCACTACGGCCACACTTGACAATGATGCAGCCAATGGTTGAGACGCGTGCCACTGGGCGTACAACAACGCAGCCGGCACCAGCTACATCTGCTACTGCCACTCCACCGACCGCCATGGCCACCGATGACGATGACGGTGATGATGGCAGCGGTACAGGCTCGTGTGGTGGCAGTGGTGGTGATGAGCGCACGAAGCTGCTGACAACGTCGCTCAGCCGCTCATGACCCGGTTGGCCTGTCAAGCTGAATGGCACGGATGGTTGCCTGCAGGGCAACGATGCGTGCTGAAGGAAGGGTGCGTGCTGAGGGTTCGCTACTGCCACACGTGGATACGTGGAGTTCGTGGCCGAATTGCGAACACGAGCGCGCGTGGCCCTAATAGAGCACCTGTCTGTGATGCTGACCCTGTCCACTGTAATTTTGTTATTTTGTGCTGACCACAGTGGACCTGCGATCACGTATGAATTACCTGTATGCTGGCTGTCCTGGCACTGTGTTGTGATTCGCTTCGTTGGCGACACGCTGTGTATAAGCGGGCGCGTGTGCATGTGTGTGAGTGTGCGTGCGTGCGTGTGTGTGTGTGGGTGTGTTTGCACGTGCGCACGTTGCTCTTGTGCGCACGTTGCTTGTGTGCATGTGTATGGATAGATTTCCGAGCGTGGTGTTGACAACCATGCTCCTTCCTTGCGTGTTCTGTTTACTTGGCAGTATGAGGTAGCCTTTCATAGATTCTACACCCCATTATTGAAGGGTGGTCGTTGGCTTGATCCCTTGGCCTGCGTAGACCTTGGCCTGTTGTTTTGTATGTATGATTAGAAGTGTGTTTGCGTTTTTGGTTTTGCGTGATATCCTTCTTCAACCCTCGTTAGTGCAACCGTGTGTGGTCTCACTGGTGTGGGGTGTGCGGTCTTTGTTCATTTTTACCCTTCGTCGTTCACCGTCATCACCTGTTTGAGCAAGTGGCTCCCCCATGCATGTGTTTTTTGTTTGCCTTGTCTCGTTACATTAAAACAACAACCTCCTCTCCCGTCGTCGTCCCCCCCCCCCCGTCTCCTTCTGCTGTCCCCTCCCCCCTAGCCAACCGCCGAAGCAAAGCGAAGCAAAGCGAAGCAAAGCAAGCAAGCCCACACAATCACCCACACACTTCCCTGACCGGCCAACCACGGCACAACCACCATCCAACCCGCATCGCCAACCCCAAAGCATGCAGGGTTGTGTCACACAGCATGTTGAAACGCGCCGTTCGGTCAGGATTCACGCAACGCCACGACGGTGTTTTGCTATATTTTCATACAATTATCGATGTATTACATCATGAGGGCGCGCGAATCTCGCGCTGGTTGGCGGCGTGCAAAATTGCGTGGGTAAAGACGAGGCTGGCGATTGGGCGTTGTGCTGCGTTTGTGCTGTGCGTTTGTGTGAGCGGACGATTGATGTTGGTGTGCAAGGATGCACGCAGCCCAACCCAGCAAACCCTCTCCTCCAACCAGCAAAGGTTTTGATTTGGCCACACCACCACCACGTTTCTCGCATGCATGTGCGCTTCTCGCGTGTTCCATGTTGCCGGGGGCCTCTCACACACGTCTCAACTCATCACTGCAACCAACAACGCAACGAAAACCTGGAAAACATGCAAGCACCAGCGAAGGAAGGCTTCCACGAAGCCCAACCCACCCAACAAACAGAACACTGACACTGGGCACCCAATACTCTGTGTTCAAGGCAAGGTCATGCGTTGACAACATCACTGTCACGCGGCCGTTGAGCAACTTGGAGTCGGCGGAGTTGGGAAAACCTCCGCCTGCTGCGCTGCCGGTCAGTGTTGATGGTTGTGTGCGTGTGTGGATGTGTGCGTTCGAGACAGTCGTTGATTGGTGGTGACATGATGTGGTCTTTGTTCCGCAGCCGTTTGGTGGAAATCTCCAGTCAGGCTGCTGCTCATTTTTCCCATCTCTCTGCCTTGCTTGCTTGGGTGTCCGAAGGTTGCTGCCATCACACCCGCCACGCGTGCACTCGTCCATCGTCAAGGGGGTGCAAGCAGCAAACCACTTTTCACGCCATTCTTGCCAACCACCACCCTCCTTCACATCAACACACCCTTTGTCGTGAATGCTGGTCCACGATACGGCGTCTCTTCTCATGGTTGGTTGTTGATGGGCTCGTTGACGTGCTCTGTCAAAGATCGAGTTGGTTGTTGCCATGAGTGTGAAGTTGCCATGAACGTGAAGTCCATGCATCAGTTCAACCAGGCTGTCCTGCTGTGCATTCTCTTCATTCACCAATGACACCTGGCTTGCCTCGACACCTTGCCATCTTGGTTCCAGACAGTGCAGGTGCTGTTTTATTCTGTGTGAAAGCCTCCAACACCACACCACAGAAGAGGCAGCATGCCTCGCACCAGGGCAAGCACATCCTCAACAGGAGGAAGCTCTGTATTCTCCCATCGCCAAGCATCACGACTATTCATAGGTGAGTGTGTGGGTGTATGCGTGTGTGCATGCGAGTGTGTATGTGGGTGTATGCGTGTGTGCATGCGAGTGTGTATGTGTGTGTGAGCGAGCGAGTGTGTGTGGTCCTGGTCGAAGCGCCGCGCTCACAAGTTCATGCGACAATCTGCAGACGCCGAAGGGGAACTCCACATCGATGCCCTTCGCTACTTGGTACATGAGCGTGGGGTTGTGGGACCAGTTGTTTGCGTATGTTTCTGCTATCGCAACCCCTCACACACGCACACACACACACACGCGCGCGCACACACACACACACACACACACACACACACACACACACACACACACACACACACACACACACACACACACGCACACACGCACGCACGCACGCACGCACACACACACACACACACACACACACACACACACAATACAGGAGCAGGAGCTTGCTGTAGATTTGGACGCCTCTGTTGCCACCTTCAAACAATGCACAGCGCCATTATCATCACAGTTGGAGCCCAGCGCACCAGATGGAAATGCGAGCGCAAACAGCCCCCTCACGCTCAGAGAAGCGATATCTCAGCTACGCAGGTTCGTGTATGTTGTGTGTGTGTGTGTCTGT